CTTACCCCTACCCCTACCATACCTTACCCCTATCCCTACCATACCTTAACCCTATCCCTACCATACCTTAACCCTATCCCTACCATACCTTAACCCTATCCCTACCATACCTTAACCCTATCCCTACTCTAACCCTACCTTACCTTAACCTTACCGTACCCTACCCTATTCTACTTGTTGTTTTACTATCTACAGATTCGTGCGATCATGTGGAAACTAACAAGGGGCACCGAATTCGTACATAGAATAGTTACTTAACTATAATATTAATTAACGACAACCTACCTGAAATCAGACGGAAAAGATAGTCGAGATTCTATACAACAAACTCCGCATTCTTTCATGTACAATGCCTTGATATTAGGTAGAACATTTCGTCACAATTCCTTCCGCTGCGTTTCAGGAGTGGACTTCCAGGTGAGATCAATGCTTGTGGACGATGTTTTAGTGGTCCTCCAATTATGGGATACTGCCGGACAAGAAAGGTAAAGCTCTAGCAAAATTATCCTAACTTATCGGTGCAACATATACGAATTTATCTTTGTACATACTTTACATTATCGTTCATATTTATGTGCAGCGTCCGTAAATTGTCTCTAAAAATGGACGATGGCGTTAGTCACGCCGTCAGGGCTTCTTCTCCCGCACCCTCCTCTTCATGGCGTTAGTCACGCCGTCAGGTCTTCTTCTCCCGCACCCTCCTCTTCATGGCGTGTTGTAGCCGTCATTACTATTCCTCTTACGTCCACGAGTCCCACACGTGTCTGCCAGGTCCCCCAGCCGCCCACTTTCAACATGCGATTTCTCGGTGTGATGTAATATCACAGTATTATCATGCATGGGCCTGATACTACATTTGATCAAATGTATATGCTTATATGCTTGCATGTGCTTTTATGTAGAGCTAAATATGTGCCTTACAGGTTTCGCAGTGTGACCAAGCAATACTTCCGAAAGGCAGATGGCGTTGTTATTATGTATGACGTGACATCTGAGAAAACATTGATCAGCATGCGACACTGGATGGCGAGCATACAGGTAGGGGCTTTTGCAACGAATATAGATGCACATCGGATGCAATAACGTCGTGTATGATCAGAAGTCCGTTGTAAAGTCGACTATATATCTCTTATTGACTGTTACAAACAACAAGGATGCTATGGCAATTGCCTGGTTCATGTAACCCTCACCACGGATACGTATGTGTATAAATTATGTGTAGCCTACGTAATGTGTGTATTATAGAAAATCTATAACCCTTACCATTCGAACATTGCATTTACTTTCGTTATAAATCACATTGCAAAAATAGGCAGGTTCACACTCAGTATAAGTCAATTTCAGGATAGTGTGGGTGCTGGAACAGTGATAACTCTCATTGGTAACAAGACGGACTTGGCACAGGATGACCGGCCTGTCTCTTACAAAGATGGAGCGCGTCTGGCTGACGTACGTCGTAGGCCTACATCACTCATCGCACTATTATTCTATGCCGTCATCTAGGCTAGTGTTTAAAAAATGAAAACGCGTTACGGGCCGGGGCCATAAAATACCTGAGAACAATATATACATATGTATATGTGTATAATATATATATATATGTTATATATATAAGTTATTCAGTAAAAACCAACGTGTAGTGCGCGGTGCGGCACGCTTATTATGAATGTCTGTCAAACGCCGGTGTTGTACGTGCATGCGTCTACGACTATCGCATTGCTAATATTCGAACACGTTGACTCTAAGCTATCGACAGCGATTTAACATTACTACTATATGGGCTGTTTACAAAAGAAGGCTTTTTCTTGCGCAGGAATATGGATACCTATTCTACGAAACGTCAGTGAAGACAGGAGACAATGTTATTGAATCCATCACAGGGTTGGCCTTGTACGTTCCGTGTTAAAGGTTTCGTTTTTTAACGTTCCCAACGAAATCCTACGGATATGGGAGATAAAAGCAGAGAAATAATGATATAGAATGTTGATGATATAGCAGAAACACGTGTTCACTATCTATAAGTCGTGATAATCGATAAGTCAATAAATCTATAAATCGTTAGTTGAACAGTGGTTGGTTTGTGACGCTGTTTATAGCCGCCTATAGTAGGCTATTGATGTCCGTATCCCCTTACCAAACTGCAGCGCTAGTTGCGTTACCCGTTTACACACAATAAAACACGAGATTACGCAGTGATAATGGATCTAGTTTATATAGAGGACAAGATATAACATGTTTTAGCCGGTACGCTGTTTGCCAGTACGCTGTTACGTGAATATTTTTTATATGACAGGCTGTTAAAAGACAAGGAGGACAAACAGATAGAAAGGACGATGCTAGATTTGACCACTGTCACGCCGGAATCTTCTTTACCCTGCTGTAACAAAAGCTGATGCTGTGACGCCACAAATGTGCCTCGTGGGACCAGAACGAATATTGATAGAAATCAGCTTCAGACCTATCGACTCGTACTTATGCTCGCGTTCTCACACGCACGCACGCACGCACACGCAAACACGCGCGCGCATGCACAGGAATATATTACAAGAGGTAGCTATACGCTTACTGTAAAACAGAGTAGATTTTGGAACTGTCACGATTAGCTGCTTTATAAATAACACGCATCGTGATGCACATGTACAAAAGATAACATACAGCAAGGCGAGAGAACACATCACCCGCGGTTGCGGCTTCAAATAAACCTTCATATTGTTTTACGCTAAGCTGATGAATTTCGAACGTATTGTTCCAAATTTCTTATATTAGCCCATGGCAGATATGTGTGCAGATAAATACACAAACAAACCGAGAAAATAACCACAAGTAACTTGCAGAACAGTGGCATATAAGTCCACACAAAATCTGAGTTCACAAATCCGTTGACAGTTTTATGTATTACGTTACAGTATTAAATTAATTAACATATGTAAGAAGAGTATGAATAAAATGCATGTATTTATAAACAACGCTCATAGTGTCTAAAAGCTGTGGTGTAGGAAATAAACTGTTATTATCCACAAATAAAAAATTTACATCCAACAACGGCAGTGCTTTCTGATTCTATTACAATAAGCTGTTATGGCGTGAAACATGCCAACAGACACATGAACATTCGTACGTATTATATCGCACAAGTGAAATCATTTTCAAAATAACTGATATAAACTAGGTAACAATTTGATGGGCTATCAGAATGCACACAAACGTCATGTCTATATAAACGCGTTATCACGCGTTACAAAGCGTTTCACTATAAGATTTTGATGTGTGAAATATCGCCACCTGGTAGCAACATCACGCAGCACGAAATCAACCATCTGCTGTATTTAATTCGAGCCTGAAAGGGACTACTTAAACCATGTCTCCGCTCACTCACCATATAACTAATAAATAGTTTTAGGCACATTAAACCAAACCTCAAGCTCGATAGCGCCACAGCATTTTTGCATTTTTGTAGTAATTTCTATTTTGGTTTTCAAATATTCTACCTTGCCTGGTTTTATTGATCTTGTGTGTATTTATGAAGTACACTACAGTCTTAAAAGATGTACAATGACGAGAATGTGGCCAATTTATGTTATGAGATGATAAACTACACGGCATGTGAGTAGGAAAATAAATGAAATTTCACGGTTCTGGCCAGATAGCTGCTTTAACATGACAATATGTAATTATCAGAGGCATGCATATACACACACGCACACATGAGCTATTTAAAAAAATACAAATTTAACGCATCTGCAACGTGCTGGACTGTTTGTGTAGCTCCAGTAAAACCTAGGACATGGACCGTCAGTTTCCAGAAGGTAATAACCCTCATATATGGTGCATTCTCTCAATAATTGTTTCTCGCAATTAGAATATAACCAGACAATGATATGTTGCCCAATCACAAACTACAACATTCCGTGAAAGATTCAGTAGTTTGTATCTGTAAATATTGCAGTATCTATCATCTTCCTGATCTCAGTTTAATGACTGTTCTTACATTTGACATTCTTACAAAACAACTACAAAATACCCTTCAGCAATTCAGCAACATTTATCTTATGTCAATAGATTTCATGCACGGTGTCGTGACACTGATATGGCAAACAGAGACATCATCAGGCTTACTTACTGCTTCCCATGCCCTTCCACGTGTTTCCTTCTCACTAATGGCATTCCATTGCTGCCTCAAATGTCTTCCACTGACTGTCCTGACTAACAGCAACTCACACCCTCAACTAATTTTTGAACGAATTTGTGACTACACAACCGCACCATAAATACGAGCAGGAGAAGACATACACGCACAAAACCACAGAAATCTAACAGTCGTTCACAAACCTTATAAAAAATAGAACGGAAAACTTTCTATTGACATATATAAACACACAAAGACATGTGGCTAACCAAATCGATCTCAACTGAAAGGAATGTCACGGAATAAGTCAATCAGATCATTCACTTTCACATAGCATTAAAACAATAAGTGTTTTTTTCCCAGATTTAAAAAAGTGCATATAATGCAGTAGATACGAATAACACATAGGACAGGATAGCGTTTACAAAATATAATTGCATTTAAGTTTACAGCACAGATCTACAATTTTGGTTTTATCAATAATATTTCTGTATAAAATCTTCTTTAGGGCTTCAATAAATAAAATGTGATAATTTTCAACATTACTCTAGACACATACCTACTAAGAAATTAACATAGGGCAACACATTTTACTATGATAATATTTTTAGAATGTAAACTACATTGTTTACAAATTAAAATTCCAACACAGGTTTTCCTAGTCTGAATGATAAGAGTGGAGAGATCAGAGATCGTGAAAATACTTGAAATCATTCCTGTTCGTTGGGAAAGGAATGGGCAATATAGTTTATTGGGAAACTTCACGGTCAGAGTCCGACTGAGCCTCTGTGACCGGTGATGCTTCCTCCAGGCAGATAACCGAGTTACATTTGTCTGTGTGGAATTTCTCAACCTGTGTCAAACAGAAAGAACAGACGTTACTATGGACCAATACAGAATCTCTGAATATTTTCTTGTTACATTCAATCGAAATAAAACTCATCAGATGAAAGTATGCAATTATTTCGCTCCAAGCCAGACATCGTTTACAAAACACAAGCATGCCTCCATTCAATATTCCATATTATGACTTGTCATACAGACCTATATTATAAGTTTAATAAAATTATTAAAAAATATATTAATAAAATTAATTAAAATTAATCTAATATCGGGAGATAAATTTTGATTTATTTTTATAAACCATTCTATCAATCCTTTCATCAACCAGTCTAGCTGTCGTTGTCAAACTGAATTAAAAAATAACTATTGACTTGTCGAGCTTTTATTCAGCGTGAGAAAGACAGCTAAACTGATTGTCAAAACTATTGCAAACAGGTTACATGCTCTCACTCATCATAATATAAAATATAATATATAATATAAAATTTACGTTACTATTATCATGAAATCTGACAAACTTATTGAAAGTTAGCCCTTATAGTAAGTTGTGATGATGCACATACTAGTTTTCTGACATGCTGGAGGGCATGGTCGCTAACATTCGACAGAGATCGGCAGCTGTCTGGTGTGTAGGGGGCTGATATCCTTACTTCTCCCATCACGGTGATATTCTGTCCTCTCCACGCAATGTCATCAATCCTAACAATCACCGTTGCGAAGGTATGCATAGAAATTCGGTTAATCCGAATGATGAATAAGCTATGCGAACATACATCACGAACGAACCTTGACTACAAGCTTCGTGTCTTGAACTACGTCACCCAGAAAATCGCTGGGCACATCAGCCATTTGACCATTAAGCTTTACGCTATTAACCATTTAACCATCAAACCATTTTTAAGTGACCAGATTTAATACTCACGTTTTGTTGATATGGTAAAACAACTGCTGTGCTTCTGATGTAACGTTTTGCCCGACTGAGTTCACCTTCTTAACCTTTTCCATCTTTGTCTTTGAAAGTCTTTGGTTCAGCTAAAAGGAATCACACATTCATAGCAGTGAACATACATTGCACTATAAGTTGATGCATCATTGAATACAAAAACGAAGCCATAATAATTATTCATGTGGGCATAGAAGACTCTCATCAGACATGATTCATACACAACTATTCTTACAGGTAGCAATTTATTGTATATAATATAGTCATATTAAATAAGAATTGGTTTGATCATACCATTTCATGTTTTGCACTAAATTACACACAATTGCTATCTAATAATTTTGATTGTCTTGACATGTTATATTTCGCTATTAATTTTTAAATAGATGCTAATCTTTTCTAAACATTAAATTAGCTAGTTATATTCATGTGGTAAGAGAGACTGATTAAATTACAAGGTGATTATATAATGCATTATTACCACACTTATTAAAAAAAACTCACTCGTTGAAAGTTGAGATTGCTGAGAGGTGCTAGAGGTTTAGCTTCCTTTTCTGGCAAGAGGCTCACATCATCAACATACAATAGATTGATGAAATGAACGTCACAGGTGTTGCCTTTCTGCTTGCTGTTTTGGCATTCTATATTCCAGTTAAGGATAGTTTTGCATCAATCTTCAGGTCTGCCACCCACAAATTTAGTTATAATTCTGGTTAATGTTACACTTGATTTCACTATCAACGCTAGTACTAGTAACTAGTAGAGGCACACATTCCTACAGCCGTAATTTACAATGGAGGCTGTAGTCCGTACAAACAACGCTACTATAATCCCCACACTTCAAACCCAAGCCATTATTAATCTTATTTCTACTACAGATTTGCGAAAATAAAGTGTGGGGTGCCAAACGACCCTCTTACCAAAGTTCAGTTATGCACCGCACATCAGCCTCATTCATCAGGGTCACTCACTCAGTTGACTCATTCGAGTCATTGTTTGCTTTCCTGGTTGGCCATAAACTACAGCGAAACAGGAGTGCAAAGGTAGGTGAGCTTCAGGTGAACATTTTTCTCGATGATTTCAACGCGTAAACTGTAGTTACAACTTACAGGTCTATAGTCATCGGCTTGGCTAAGTTACAAATACAATGGCAATGCTACAAAAGCCTGAAAAGACATGCGTCTAAACAGAGGAATTGCTCTGACCTGTGATTGGAGGATAAAAATAAAATTCGTGACGTTTCGTTTTGCATACCCCGTCGGGCAAAAACCGCTATTATGCTATTGACCGGATAGGAAATGTACTAACATGCATGATATGCGCGAACAGATTTGAGTTACATTTCTAGTATAATTCTAACGCATTATAGACACCATGGCCTTAGCCTTAATCTCTGTGAATTTTGAGTCTATTGAAGCGCGATTAGTCTAATTAATTAGCAAATATGCATGCTGGGTATGACTCATAGGCTAATATACGCGCGGCTATGGCCGGTAAGAAAGTATACTAACTATCATGATATTGCGTGAACGATTCGAGTTACATTGCTATAAATTCTAGATATTTATAGAGCACATGTCAACTCGAATGTCTCTTTAGCTATGATCGGCTGCGCTGTGAGTCTATGAGTTTATCTGAAAAGGCGATTAGCTAATTTCAATTAGGCAAATATGTTATGCGGCGGTATCGCTCGATACTCGACGTCATATGCCGCGTTCACACGTAATGGTTTAGCTAAAGCTAAATTTGAGTCTAGAAAGCGTTCCACACGTACAAAGTGGAATACTGTCCTGTCAAAATTCAACATTCAAATTCAAATAAATCTGATTGCACCAAATATCTCACAGATCTAATCCTTCGGCAGTAAGTGTCGCGAGATCTGGCGTTGTGTACGATTCAGCGTGTTTACTTTTTTCCGTTCCCTAGTTCAATTATCAATCTTGTAGAAGCTATGATCCTGATCAATATTTTTCGAATTTTTATACTGTTTTAGACTTTATTTTGTCGAAGTACACGTTCAACACTCCGTCACTCGCGGCATCTACCGCTCTACCAATTTAGCTGACGCAGTGCTAAAATTTTGGCTCGGGCGCTGGTCAGGCACATTTCGATGGGACCAAAATTGGCCGTGCGTGCTAACTCGGCACGCCCAAAAGACCGTCACCGTGTCACAGGCACGTGAAGCGTTTTCAATAGAAAGTATAATCTAAATAACTACGAAATCCTATTTGACTACTAAATCTTAATGTTTGTATCTCTTTCACCTATTAATAGTATTATCCCGACAGTTTCGATGTAAATTCCGTCTATTTAATCCTATGTGCAAACATACGCTGGCGGCCGGCCATTGCTCATGCTGCGTGCACTGTGCATCAACCTGACACTTAATATAGTATATAGCCGCCGTACAGCAAGGGCGTGCTGCCCAAATTCGCGCTCGACGCTCGGCTGGATTCAACACGATTACAACACAAGATATTCAACCATTTCCACTCCTATCGTTGTTTCTATTCAAGCAACGAGTGTCACTTGTTATATAAAACATACTGTCTCTGTTCGTACGGCGAGCTGTGTCACGGCAAAACTCACCACAAAGACTGATGAAATTCTCGCGTTCGCTCCTTTTGCCCCAGTAAATGTAAATGGCTCGGCCAGAATCCAGGAAACAACCCACGGCGCTCTTCGTGACGCTCATTCTGCACTGGCAACGCTGGCAAAGCGTTTTTAAAATGCTGCCAATGGTGAGGCTTCGTACTGGGAGTTTGGAAAGCAGCTGTGGTAGTTCGCGACAAAATGCGTGTGCCGCCTATAGCCGCTTTAGACTGGTACTGCGCTCCCACGCTTGTAGACTGGCAATTGGGAGTGAACGCAAGAATTCGCAGTCTTTGTGTGATTTCTCTAATGTGAAATCGCTTCGGCTCGAGCCGAAATTTGGTTATTTGCGGCAGGCGACTATTTAGGCTCAAACTAAAAACGTCCGTGTGAACGGGCCTATAGGTTAAATGCCAAAATGACCACGAAACGTCAGCGAATTCCTATTTGTTATGCCTCCAACTGCACCAAGTCGGAGCAATTCCTAGCTGTTTACTAGACTGTTTTTACTGTTTTGTTTAACTTTAACTTTAGTGTTATAGGATCAGTACTCGCTCTTGAATAAGGATACTAAGAGCTAGCATGTTTTCTGCTGGTCGAAGCTATAACTCTCTCTCCCAATCTTTTGTCCTTACACGTTGTAGACGTCAGCCCAGTTGCCAATTGTAATTATATCACGACCTGAACCATTATCCATTGTCATTTTGTGCTTATTTCTTATTATAGTCTACTTGGACTTGTATCTGCAAATCAAGTCATGTTATATCAGCTGAGCAACCGGTTAGTGCTGGCTACGTAGTGGAAAATCTAGAACTAAGAGAAACTCAGAACACGCCGGAAGAGGTCGCTGCAAAAGGAAACGTTTCAAACGTCCGTCGCATCACGAAGACAGAATGGTCAACACAAGTTGAACAACTTGACGTACGAGAAATCCAGCCTCCAGTACTATTGAATTATATTACTATTCAACATAAAATTTAATTCAATATGTAAGGTATAACGCCCGTTTAGCATGCCCGTTAGTAAAGCCGGTTTATGCGATGCTAGAATGCGTTCACAGGCGTTATATGTAGGTCTAATGTCACTCAGTGGCCACTGTCTTCCCATTCTACTTGCTGCTCCCAATGGACACATTCACACTCACCAGTCACAAAGACTGCAAAGTGACAGACAGCCTCAGAATAATGATAAGAAAAAAGATATGCCTAGTAGCTAAATACCAAGAACATTTACTACTAAAGGTGTTGTGTTTGTGTCAGCTCTATATCCTTAGTAATTATAGTATTACTATTACTATTAGTATTGACTCAGTTATTACACTAGTCACTGCACAAGAACAAGTGCCCGCACCTGCAGCGGCTGGCGGCTATTATCGTCCAAATGCCAAGACGTTATACAGCTCCGCTTGGCTAATCTTGAGGTTGCAGGTTTAATCAATTCCATTACTGGTGTCTGCGTCGACTCGGACTACTGCGGCTATAAGCACACACGCGGCCATTGACATATATAATATACAGACATTGTTTTATAACATTGTTATATATACCGTCAATGGCCGCGTGTGTGCTGTAGCTGCAGGTGAGCGGACCTTGTTCTTGCTGCAGTGTCATTAGTAGTAGGAACTGTAGGAATTAGTAGGGCCCGCTAAACTGTGTGAAGTTGTAAGTTAGTAACGTAATCGCTTTGAGTCTGTGCAACATGCTGTGCACTTTTACAACATTGTGTTCATATTGCATACCTACAGCGCCGCAGTATAACGGCCCAAGCTAGTAGCACGCCCATGATTAGTTGAGAGCATATGCAAAAACACTTTGCGGGGTCCGCAAACTCCCTCCTTGATCCAGTACAACTTATACTGTCTTAGTATACGTAATAACTAAGCGTATATTATATAGATATACTATTCTACTTACCATACTAGACTACTAGTAGTAGTTTAGTATACCTATAACTATCAGAACATGCTATAATTAAAGGATAGCTTTTCATCTAGAATTTAGGAGTATATTATTGATAGTAGATATGCATAAATCTGCATATATAGCCTACCCGTACAATTTTATAATTTACGCGCATTCACCATTCGCTGTGTCATAAAAAGCAAAATGAATTTCTAAAAATTTTTAATTTTAGGCGCTGATCATCACCCGCGATTGTCTCGCGCACCCTGAAAAGTTGCGCATTATGCCAATTATTTGCACGTTACCACGGGGTACATCTATCCTGCTTAGTAGGGCAGCCCGTGCAGAGTGTACGGCGAGCCTAAAAGATTATATATATATACTTATCTATCAATTAAATTGGGAGTTTGGCTCGCACTCATTTATTCAGAATAATCGATTATAGAATCTTATATGGAGGCCATTCTTATATAAAACAGTGAGTCTATATAATGAATAGAAAGCATGGAGATCTGCATCAGAGCCTCTCTAATTTGGCGCATTATTTATGATTTTGTATTTTGGGGGCGTTTTGCTAGGTGGGTCGGTAATTTTGGGCGCCCGGTAATTTGGTTTGAAAAAAAATGGCCAGGAATCGCCTGCATTACAGATCAAGAGGGCTAATCGAGAATTCAATAAAGTGCAATAATGATTTATACCTAAAAGTGCTAAAACTGAACGATATTCATTTTAGAACAGACTTCATTCATGATTATAACTGAAACGTAAGCTATAATTAGAAGATTATGCAATCCTTTTGTCTCTTAAAACTAATAAATAAGAAACCGCGCTTCGTCGTGTAGCCTGCAGCGAAACGTACGTTGCTTTGTGGCCAACTTTTTTCAGTGATGCACTGGGCAGTGGGCGCCACCTGTCAATTGTTAAGCACGATATAGCCGTCGGATTTTTAAAACATTAAAAAATAAAATTCCAATGCAATACTGAACCATAAAACTTTTGTATGTAACTCTAATTTTACCACTATTTTAACGTGAAAATATCTGAAGAACTTAAGTAGATGTACCAAACAGCGATATATATATGACCAGGCTGTACGATCATTTATGTCGTAGACTTGCTCGCCAGAGCTCCAAGAAACGGGTCTTTGC